GTTAGATAATTTGCCCAACTGTAGGCTAATATCAGCGTAGGCTAATATACGTTTAAGGCAGGCTAGGCTAAGCTATGATGTTTAGTTGGTTAGGTGTATTAAATGCATTTTTGACTTAGGATCTTTTCAACTTACAGTGGGTTTATTGGGGTGTGACCCTATCGTAAGTCAAGAGAGATGTGTGGTGCCTATCTTGTAGGGTTGTGGTGAGGCTTAAATGAGTGAATAACATGTAAAGTGCTTAGAAAGTGCCTGGAATATGGGAAAGACCCAATAAAATGTTAGCTGTCGTTAACATTTGACCAGCAGACCTCCAACTGGTGATGATGATACCATACCACTCTGATACCTGGGCATCTACTTGCCTTGCTGTGGTGATCCCTGCATGATGACAGAGTGTCACCCCTGACCCAGTGTCATCTTCACAAGCAGCTCTAGGACTGGTGGGAACATATGGGACCTATCTGTCTACTATACATTGGCACAGTGCTGTCCTATCTGGCCTGTTTTTTTCAATTCGCTTTTCTGTGAGCTAGGGAGCATGGAGACAAATTAGCCAACTGCTGGCTAGGCAGCCATCCAACAGGAAACAAAATGCCAGGCTCCCCTTCAGTCAGACACCTCTAGTCCTCAGGGATTCTCCTGGATGCCCCCTCTCTCAGAAATAGCACCTTAGCTCACAGAAAGATAATGCTGCTCACAGAAGCCCAGTGTTCTCATGAGAGCAATTTCTCATTGCAAACTAGTGTGCTGCCATTCTGACTTTACGTAGTATATTGGGTTTCTGAGCTTGGTTAATTTACTAGTACAGCCATAAAAGAAAAAAAAAATAGGTTCCTTCTCTGGATGCTGACCAAATCGTTTTTCAGGCTATAAAACTTAATAGCAGAGCTTGAACTGAAGCATGTTAATGCCACCCACCTGGCCTTCTTAGGAGCCATTGGCCACCTTTGTCCCAGAAGTACCCTTTTGAATTTCTTTTAGACAACTCTGTCCTCCAGGCCTCTGTTATGCCCCTTAATGCACCCCTGTCACAATATCGACACTCTACTGCATTTAGTCTACTCATTTCTGTGTCCTACTATTTAATATCAAAGCCCCTTAAGGGCAGGGGGCTGGGCTTTTAGTTATCTTTCGTATCTCTAGTGCCTAATGTTGATGGGTATCTGTAGGTCTTCAAAAAATATGTATAAAAAATGTGCTGAGTGTTTAGCATGTGAAAGGTAGAGTGCTGAGAACCAAGGGTGCAAGGTGGTGTAAGACCTGGAGGTACGTGCACTCTGGTGGAGCAGGCAGGCCCTTTTGAGTTGAGGTTTCTTCCGCTGTGCAACTACAACACTTGGTGCAAATCTCTGCTTAGGATTCACCAGAGAGTGATCTCAACATCTAGTTTTCTCTAATAGTTTCTGAGCCTTTGGAAGGGAAGGTCTGAGCCTCCTCTTTGCATTCTGGTTGCCTAGTCCGGTGCCTGATGGTCACAAGGCAGGCACTCTACAGGCGTACTAAATCATTAACAAGAATAAAGGTTCAGATAAACGTGGGTGTGCTGGGGTAAGTTTTCTTAGATGAGGTGAACTCGCACTCGGTTTCAGTGAACTTAGGAAGGGGAAAAAAGAATAAGGCTGATATATTAGGTAAGGGACAACATGTGAGCACAGATCAGAATGTACATTGTATCTTCTGGAGAGATTTTGGGTGAAAATATTCAGCAACTAATTGGAAACACAGTCCTGGTGGTCATAAGGGCTGTCAGTTTCCAAGACGTATTCTTGGAGAAAATGGAACCTGTCTATAATCAGCTAATGCTGCTGACCCATGGGACCAGGGGGTTAAGAGTGCAGACTCTGGAACCAGAATACTTAGCTGTATGACCTTGGGTAAGTTACTTAACCTGTCTGGGTCTCAGTTTCCTTATAAAATGGAGAGAGTAACAGCACCTATCTGCTAAAATTGATGTAAGGATTAAGACAGTTTATATATAAAGCACCATTGTTCTATCATAGCAAGTGATCTCATTCTGTTTTCAGTGAGGATCTTTGGAGTGCACATTTCCACACAGAGCCTAGAGTGAGACCTTGCTACTTGAAATGTGTTCCCCAATGCAGCAGTAGCCAATGAAGCATCACCGGGGAACCTATTAGAAATGCAGAATCTTAAGCCCCTCCCACTCCTTCTGTATCTGAATCTGCATTTTACAATTAGGTATTTGAATAACAAAGGGGTATTATACAACTCAACTCTAGACCTACTGAATAAGAATCTCCTGGGACTGGAACCTACATAGTTCCATGATTTCTACCATTGATTCTGATGTTCACCAAGGATTTAGAAACCCCAGTGCACTTAGGACAGTGGATTTCCATCATCTGAAAAAACTCAAAGCACCTGTGTTGCTAAACTTGGCAGGCACCAGACATACAAAATACAGCATCTGTTCTAAGAAAAGTAGGTTTGCATGGAAGAAAGCCAGGTAAAGTTAAAAACGAGCTAAGAAATTAATCTTGTGTTCTGTATGATTATAGTTCTTTTTAGTACATTCCGTAAGAGTTTATTGAATGAATGTTCTTTATCCAGGCAGAAATGACCAGTTGGGCCTTCTACAACCTATTTTAATGAGACATTTTTTGGAAATCCTATTTCAAGGTAGCAAAAGCCAATATCACTAAAAGCATACCTTGACAAAACTCTGCTAACAAATCTGTATTAGAGTAAAGCAAGAGGCCAACCATCCTCATGGAGCTGAAGTGCAGGACTGAGGTGATACAGTAATTATAAATCTGGCAACAAAAATGTTACAAAACAAATTAACCTCTCAGAACTCTAAAAACTCTACTACAAAACCTGACAGCAGTACATCTGGCAGAGCGTTTATAAATTGGGTTGCTCATGAAATCATCATACCACTTACCAAGCACCATTATGGGTGGTGCACTGGGTATACCACTGGGCGTACAAAATATAAGACATTTTTTTTTCTCTGATTACCCCAAAATGAAATATTTTCTCCTCCCTCTAAACACTGACAATCATGTACTACATAATTCTTTGACAGTTATGTACTAGAGGCTTGTGATATTTTCTCTTAAATTCTTGAATTGTTACTCAGTATTTTGTAACTTTTCATGTCTATCATTTATCATTTATCTCCCCACTAGAATAATGCAGTTTTCCCCCAGGTTAAGGAAGGTGCCAGTTTGTGTAAGGACCAGATTCTTTTAAGCTCACCCTTACTTTCGGGAGTCAGCTCTTTGTAGACCCATAAATGGGGAGTAGTTTAACAAATCCTCATCTTTGACAGACAGAATATTCTTTTTTCCTCTAGCCCCACTGGGTTGCCAAAAGTCTAGCTCAGCCTCTCAGCTGCCTCTTGTAGATCACTGTACGCTTTGAAGCAGAAGTAGCCCTGGCGTAAAAGCAAGAGAGAAAACGTACATTGAACAGGTGGCACATAACTAGGATGCTATTTAAATGAGAGAATATCAGTAATTACATTAATTATAAAAGGCCTAAATAATCCAGGTAAAACTCAAAGATGATCAGACTGGATTAAAACCTGATGATTATGATTTTATAATGTCTATGATTTTCAAAGACATGCATCTAAAACTAAAGGCTACATAAAGGCTGAAAGTAAAGGGGTGGAAAAAGTTATGTCATGCAAGTGTTAACCAAAAGAAAGCCACTGTAGCAATATTAAGAATAGAAAAAACAAACTTTAAGGAAAAAAAATGTGCTATGCAAATAGGGGATTACTTCATAATGCTAAAACATTCAGTTTACTAGGAAGCTTTAATGATTCTAGACTTGCACATGCACCTAAAACATGATCTTAAAATATGGAAAGCAAAATTAACAGAATTACAAGGAAAAATAGGCAAATCCATAATCATACAGGGAGATTTTCACATGCCTTTCTCAATAGCAGATATGGAACAAAAAAAATCAGTAAGGATACAGAATGTTTGGACAACATGACTAACACGCTTGACACAAATAAACATAGCACTCAGATCAAGACGTAGTTAGGTCATCTCCTTGGTCCTGTGGAAGAACACATATTTAGGGTCATGAGATTTTTTAAAAATCCATTCCTCCATTTGGAGCACTCATACAAGCAAGAGTAGGAAAAAACCTGTAATACAGACCTGTTCCTACAACACACAAGAGACTATAACATCTTTAAGCTCATAACCTGAAGACACACACTAAAATTAAATTTCGTCCATCCCTAATCCTATCAGTTTGGTACCAGTACCGTAGATGGCATTCGTTTCATTGTTTAATTTTGTGAATTAACTTTGATGACAATTACCTTGTTGCCTAAACTGATCACCCTTCTTGTTAGGATGGAGAAGTAAAAAGCACTAATTATTTTTTAAGTTGCAGTAACTTAGCTAATTCTGTCCAATCTTATGAGCAGGATTTAGGGGACTGTTCAGGGGCTCTGGGCTCACAGTTGAAACCTTTATGAGAAGATCCTCATATATTCAACCAGTGTTACATAAATATGCAAAATTACTACGAAAAAAATCTTTGGATGTAAATGTAGTCTCCAGTGCCTTGCAAATAAGTCAGTATTCTGCAAACAAAGGGTATATGTTAAATGGCCACTTCTACTATAAAAGACACTACCTTTGGAAAAACAGTACTTCTACCTTAGGAGCAAGAGGAGTGGTGTGTGACAAGATGGGGAATGAGAGGGAGGATGGAGGAAGATATGATAATTTTTTTTGGAAGGAGAATTATTTTTAATTCCTCTTTTCAACCTTTTTCATACATGTTTGATCAGTTGTCCATATCAGAGCAATTTTCACTATTTTATTAGAAGATTGCCTGTAATAAGAATAATTTAAACAATATGAATGAAATGGCTTTCCTTTTTTAAAGAGTGAAACCAAGACTCAATCTGAAATATAGATTTTGCTATGCCACCATCTTTATTAAAACAGATATAACTCTTATTTATAATCGATGCAGTGCATAAAAATAAGCAAGGCAGAGACATTTGGAGGAATTCCATTTATTGTGGATGCATTTTCACAATATATGTTTATTGCAGCGATCAATTATCAGTGAAAATATCAAGTGTTTATAAAACTTTTAGGAATGGCAGATTCACAGAACATGCTAGTCACCTTGCAGTCTTACCTCTTAAAGATAACAAAGAGAAGTGTAATCAAACAAGTAAACAAGGAATTTATTTTTCAAAAGATTAAATCCAAACTGAACAAAATTCTACCCTAAAATTTATTCCATCCATTATTGGAATAAAAGTCAGGATCGATATATTCTCTTCTCAACTTTAGACTTTCTAGGAAAAAATATGTAATAGTGATCAGGAGAAGCTCTTATTCAAAAGTACAACAAAGCAATGTTACCTCACCATGGGCCTTAATTCAAACTTTGATCCATTTCACTCCAATTACGGGAGTCAATGCTAAAATCAGGCACTGCGTGCAAATTCTAGTTCATTTTGTCATAGACTCATGTCTACTCTGTCATGGGTGGATGACTTGTGCAATCTTGGTGGCTTTCCTTCCTTTGGCCCAGGTGTGCTAAAGCTAGAGGATTCGACAACTCTTTACTGATTTATGAGGAAAATATATTTTGGAAGGCAGTGGTCACTCCTCATGCCAGCCTTGCCCTGGCTAGCTCTTCCAGGGCAGTACTGTAGATTAGAAAACAGTCATTTGAGAGGCTCCCTCAATGTGGTAGGAATTGAGACTAAGACAATTTTGGTTAAGTCAAATGAGGTATAAGTTTATAGAATTACACTACATGTATATTTCTATGCTAGAACATATTGCCAAGACACTGGAGTACTCTTATCATCTATTGTAGAGAATAGATGAACACTTATAAACTAAAATAAGATGTGATATCTAGATTGTGTGTGCAAAATGTAAAAATGACAAGTCGATAGACTCTTGGGGAAAAAGGTAGAACTAATAAAAGTTACATATATTTTTTTAAAATTCAACATGTTATCAACTTACGACAAGTACCAATGACTAATAAAAGTAGAAAAGTTTAATTTAAAAGATGTTTCAGTCTATTAAGAATGGAAATACTGTCATGACTCCTAAATACTGGCTTTTGCTCACTTTTCTTCTCTGCTCCCAGACATTAGCCAAAGTTGGTCTTAGCATACCCACACGTGGAATTCCAATCTGTATAATTTTGTGACAAAAATTCTTGTCTTCAAATTTTAGAGAAGGAAGAGACTTCATTTATCATCTAAGCCAACCTACTGTGGACTTGATTTTAAGAACAGAATAGAGTTCTGAGCAAGCTTTGAGTTTGACCCAGATGGTAGATTTGGGACAATTCACACTGGACTTCAACATTGTTTTTAATTATAAACTAAATACTCTGTTTTATAGAAAATGTCAACTAATTTTGACACTTCTATAATCTCTCTTTTCTTCTTACAGGTTATCGGGCATTGGAAACATATCAATACCTATTCTGCCATGTATCTATTGGCAAATATGAAATATTAATATAATATTGTGATTTTTAATTTTTAAAAAGCTGTGATATTGGCTAGTTACAAGGACATATTGCTAAATATAATAGTCTAGCACATAAAAAAGCTTTCTACCATTAGTGTGTTTGTATACGTGTATGCACACACATACATGATCAGGTCATGTAAAATGTGGTTCGCTATCACTACCAAAGAAATCCACAAAGCAACCAACCTAAAGAATCAGTACCAATGTCAGCTAACATCATAATCCAATTTAGATATTCATCACATGAAAAAAGTAATACCTTAAGAGTATATCTTTTTTTTTTAAAACAATCATTATTGCAGTATCTCAAATCTGAAATGGGTTACTTTCAGAAAGTGTTTCAATTGCCTAGTAAGATAATTTCTTCCGTGCTTTATGCTAAAGTGCAGAAACAACATGATTTCTGTATTAAAAATAAAAAAACCCCAAATAAAACCACTAGGGCTTGTTTTTCTGGACACTGCACACATTCCTCAGGCAATTTTCAACGTGAAGCTCCTTTAGTTGACTTCCGGTGTGGCTGGTATCACTGCTCAGACACAGAGTTATGATGATCAGTAGGAAAGTCTCTATTTCACAGCATGGGTTTCTTTAGAAACAGGCTCCTGTGCGAAGGCAGTACTTTTACCATGAACATCTCTAGACTGTGATTATTAAATATAGTGATAATATACATGGGTTTACTGGGATAATGAAAAATAAAACAAGAGGAAATGAACTCAATTTAGTAAATCAACATAAATATAAAACAGAGCAAACTAGCCCTCTCCAACTGAGCTGGTCCAGCATCTTGAGCGGCTACTTTGGGTTCTTTCTTGAACTCTCTCAAACCTGCTAAGAGAAGAGAGCTTTAAATCCACAGGCCATGGTGTTTCAGCCAGATGTTTTGTGTCAGAAGAAGAAAAAGATAATTGAAATATGGCAGGAATAAATATTTATGAAAGGGAGGATTATTGTTGGTATTCTATTCAAATATGCTTCTCGTCTTCCAGTCTACCTGTCTTCTGTTGATTTTTTTACTTCCCTCTTTCTTCTTTATATTCCCCCTTCCCCATCTTGGTCTTTTGGCCTTGCTTGTATGAGCTTTTTTAATTTTTTTTTAAAACTCCACTGGAGGGGCGCCTGGGTGGCTCAGTTGGTCAAGCGACTGCTTTCAGCTCAGGTCATGATCCTGGAGTCCCTGGATCGAGTCCCGCATCGGGCTCCCTGCTCGGCGGGGAGTCTGCTTCTCCCTCTGACCCTCCCCCGTCTCATGTGCTCTCTCTCAAATAAATAAAATCTTTAAAAAAAAATTAAAACCCCACTTGAAAGGCCAGGAATCCGTAGTGTGCTTTCTGGAACAGGCACATGTGGTGAATGGCTCAGTCTCGGCCACGTCAAGGACAATGGAGAAGTGGAATGGGCTTATCCTTAGTTTTCTCCGATTTTTTAATTTCTTCCCTCCTATTCTTATACCCTGACCTTTGAAACTTATGTGGCCCACACTCTTATTTGTGTATCATTTCTTCAACTAGCTGCTAAAAATCCTTGCTGACATATTCACAAATATTAGTGTTGTGAATCTACATTTTCAAATGTGTACGTCCACCTCAAAGGAATGACTGCAGGACGTGTAGTGAGTCTGACATTTTGGAGCCAAGGAGCCACCCACCTCATAAACTCAGCTCTGGGCCTTGTGGTTATATTATTATTATTACTGTACAGAGAGTTTCATTGTATAGACCGAGCACGAGGGGGTGGTATGTGTGAAGACTCACCCCATCACCTTCCCACCTTGTGCCACCACACGGTACAGTTCCAAGGAGTACCATTCACATTGTGTTGAATGTGAGTGGTGTTCTCTTGAGTGTTACCATTCCAGATCATCTCTGTACTCCACTTCCCCGAACCCTGGCTCAGAGGAATGTTATCCGGAGAGGCTCCATGAAACCTGTGCTGATGGGCAATGGACAGCTGACACCCTCTACTCAGAAAGCAGACTATATACACATCTGACTGCCATTTCCGAGAGGTTGGAGACGATGCTAGAGGGGTGATGATGGCTTAGGCCAACAAAAGTTCATTCTTTGTCTTAAAAAAGAAACTAATAAGCAATTGCCCTACTCACCTCCACCAGGAGAAAAATTGTGCAAGGAACTTTAAAGCTTTATATTTTCTGCTAACTATGCAATCCTCAAAAGAAAGCAGCATGCATAGTGGTTAAGATGCAGACTCAGATCAGACGGCCTGAGTTTTGATGCAGGCTGTGCTAACTTACTGTTGTGTGGCTTGGGCAAAGTTCATCTCTCTGTGCTTTGTTTTCCTCAGCTCTAAACAGGGGTAATAAAAAGACCCACCTCACAGGGTGGTTGGAGGGTCAAAGGAGATAATGTAGCTTAAGAAGGCAGAACAGTTCCTTGCATAGAGTGGACAAGGTGGTTTGTAGTGGTGATAATTATTACTAGGTACTTTTAATATATTTAGCAATGACTTAGAAAAGTTATTTAAAAATCACCTTTAAAATAGAGAGACTGGGCCAGTGGATTTTGTTGGAATATAAGAGCAATCGATAACTAATCGAGAGACGGAACAGCACACTAGGCAGCTGTTAGGAACATGTAGAGGTAGGAAAGGAGAAGTGATTCTCTCACTTCAGGGACCTGTAGAGATCCTCTGGTTGCCTTTGAGGTGTTCCTCAGTCCCAGGTTTGCTTGAAAAGTGCTTTTAATCGACCCATAAGCGGACTGTTCTAATCCTACTTATGGTTGCTCTCTGATTTTTCTCTCTTCAGTTTTCCCTCTATTAAAGGAGAAGACTGGGCTTATTGCTTGAAATGGGGAAGGGCTACAATTAGAAGCTGAATTAGCTCCTTGGACAACAGAGTCCTATGCTCAGTCAGAGTATCATTTAGATATTGTCTAGAGCCTCCTTTATGAAGAATGAGCATACCCGTTGACCAGAAGATCAAAAAAAGACAAATACAAGTATTCTTTGCCATTAGTTTTCATAGGGTAGCAAGTTTTGCCTGGCTTTTAAATATTATTTTAATTTTTTTCCATAGCAACCTTGGGTCCTAGGCTCCTGGCAATGTAATGGTTCCAGAAAGCAGCTTTGGAGCCACGCAGGGACACAGATGTTTTTCCCTAGGTGATCTTCAAATGGCTGTGGTTCCAAGTCTGGACCATGTAAGAAGTATAGAGCACGCTTACCATATGACCTCTGTTAACACTCCTACCACTATGGTGCTTCTAGAACATCTTACTGCAAACCACTCCACAGGTCTGGACTATTTATGTTGTATGACTGACAAGCCTACACTTCTGAAGGCTCTGTGAACTTTACCTCTCACTGTATCATATATAAGTTTTTAGAAGCTGATGGTTACCTAGACAAGGCTCTTTGGATCAGTGATATTTCTCATTTGACCCTGGAACATCATACTGCAGGATACAGCAGGCAAAGAACCTATGAAAAGCAAATCTTCCCAGTAGATTACCTTAGTGGGAGAAGTGACCTTATCCACAGATTGCTTTTCCCAGAGGTTCCGCTTGCCAGATACATCTCCTGGCCTCAAATCCTAATGAAGAAAAGGCGAAAGAAGTTGATAGGTGGCCATTTATATTTTCTGGCCACATCTAAATAAATCACCACTTCTGTTGTTTGTTTCAATCAATTTCTTATTTAATACGCTTTATCCTGGTGATTCGAAATGGATGGAATCAAAAGGATCATTAGCCATCGTTTTTATATGGACCTTGATCTATGTTATGATATGAGAATGGGCTGGAATTATCCAGCAGGTAGTTCCTGTCCTCCACTGAGGGCTTCCTGTTTATTGATCAGTAGAATTGGAATATAAGCATATTTAAAATAATGTAGCCTATTTTTAACTTTTCATGCTCTTAGTAGCGAATAGAATAAATGTTCTCCCTCTCCCACTCCCCCTGCTTGTGTTCCCTCTCTCGCTGTGTCTCTCTCTGTCAAATAAATATATAAACTCTCTGGAAAAAAAAAAAAAGAATATACGTTAGTTTTAATTCTTTTGAGACTGGATAAGCATTTCACCTCTTGCAGATTAACTTTCTTTCAGCATTCTGGTGTATTCCCTACACTCTTAGGACTTCAGTGCAGACCAGCCTGACTTCCAAATGCCAACACTCCATTTCTTTGCCTGAGGTCTTTCTCTGGCTACAGAGGCCCACTCTGCCCACCCAGGAGGCAGGCTGGAAGTTCAGAGAATTAACATCCCCAGGAGCAGTCTTCAATAACTCATGCCAAATCACGATGAGATTTGGTGCAAGAGTATTTCTCAGGCTCACTCACGCCTCAGCGGTGGGATAACTGGGAAGCGTGTGTTTTATGGTGGTTTCCAGGGTGCCTCGGTGGGATTAAGTTTTAATAGCCCATGTGGTGACTTGCTAAATAGCATTATTGGCTACCTCCTTTTCCCTGACTCACTTCCTGTAGTGTTTTCTTCGCCTCCCAAGTAAACTACTTGCACTTGAATTACTATCTCAGGGTCTGCCCCTGGGCAGCTCAAACTGAGACACTTTTCTAATTGCACTTTCCTCAGACTAAAATCATGTTGTTTCCTGAGGAGCAAGTGGGTAATTAAGAAGGGTATCAGTAGAGCCTAGCCCCACAAAAGGAAAGATTTACCACAAGTTGTACCCATAGGAGAAGTTGAGTTGATGACATGTGTGAGAGCATGTGGAAATCTTGGGAAGAAAACATGAAAATAACGATTGGTAACAGTTACATAGCTTCAATTCGTTATTTACTACCCTCAGAATTAATCTGGTTTGGATAGGGATCCAAATTTCTGTTTCCATTTACTTTTCTTCCAGCATTTGCTTATATTAGTACTTGGCAAAGGTGGTTTGTAGAAAATAAATGTGTTTTACTGAAATAGTAATGTTTATTTTGGCAAAACCTTTTCTCATTAGGAAGGCAAAGCTAATAACGATTGCATTTATCCACAGACACTGGCCTCAATGGTCATATTTTTGATAGATACTATTGAAATCTTGACACTGAAAAGGCACTGGTTAAATGGTACCATGTGAAGCATTTCAAATTTACCTTAATCTTACTGAGCTTCTGGATTTCCGTTGTGGCTTGGATTCCTGATATTCTATTAGAGAGTTACACCTATTTTACTTGGAACCAGTAAGCAACAAATCAGGTTGTTTTTGAAGAATTCCACTACATTTGCCAATGTAGGTAGAAGCTGCCAAATTGTCTGGAAGACTGTTTTAAAATTTGGGAAACTATAATTAGGAACATACTAATGGAAGCTCTGGACAGTGGCTATTATTACTTTATTTATTTGATTCATATAAAACAATTATTATTCTTTCACATGAATGTCCTTTTACTGAAGAAAGTGAATTGTATTTCCCTTAAATCCTGCCTATTAATCTTTTGAGAGCACTTACAGAGCCTAAAGAGTCCATCTCAAGAAAATATTAACATCCAAGTGGTAAGCTGGCATTTTAAATCAAAGGGGAAATATAAATGCAATTACCTGACCAGACTACATTTTAGAGAAAGACCCACTCCAGAAGAAGAGGGAGAAATGAAGGCAGGAGAAGCAGGTTTCCAATCAACCAGAGATCAGAGAATGAAGAAGAGAATTCAGCTGAGAAAGACATTGTTGGGATTTTTTTAAACAAAAAGAAAGACAAGTTATCACTTAAATTGCTGTATATAACATGTAGGTGAGACACAAGTAACAGTCAAACCAGATAAAGCAGACATACTCAGAACTCAGAATTCCAGTTATAAAGTTACACCAAAATCCTATAAATTCTGCCCACAAATAGCAGATGTCCCAGTAACAAATTAGATGTAGATCAGTGTTTAATTCTAAATAAGTTAATTTTCAGGGACCCTAAAAGATATTGATTTGACAAACTACTTTGAACACCTTTAATTTTTAGCATATGTGAAAATTATTATGTAACCATGGTAAAGGGTGGTTTTTCTCTTCAGGGAGTTTTAGAACAGAGCACTAATCCTGTGGATTGCTCCTTTCCTTCTTGAGGTTTCACTGGGTGAGGACCATTTTGGTGAAAGAATTTTCCTCTGATTTTTTCCTTAGTGGCCACATGCCACACATTTGCCAAAACAAACCCAGGCTTTCCCATCTACCCATATATGCCAATGACTATAAACAAGGAGCTGAGGATAAATCACCTTTGATCCCAAATCAGAAGTTACCTTTGGGGGCCTCCCATTTGCTGCTGTCTTTAGGTAATCCTCTGACATCCTGGGCTCAGGCTCAGAGTCCCAAGGGGGTCAAACTTAGATGCCTGCCACGAAGGGCCAGGCTAGAAACATAAATGCCCAAAGAGGCCTGGTGTAAGAAACTTAAAAAATAAAAAAAAAGAGGGAATCAACAAATTCAAGAGTGTATGCCTCTACACCTCAATAACATGTTCAAATTACAATTTTAAAAAGGGAAATAAAGCACAACAGCCCCAAACTACACAGATCTTAGCTGCAGGCCACCAGTGTGAAACCCCCTGGATAAAACCTGAACAAGATCCTAGCTTGACCTGTCTAAGCTGCCTTCCCAGACTTAACCTTTTCCTGACAAGTTTTATGCATCTACAGGGTCCTCCCAGCCCTTTCTGCATTTCAGAAATTTCATCTCTTTTCTGCTAGATCCATAGTGTCTATAAGTTACCCTCTTGCCCTTGCTGGGCTCCAAGTCATGTCCTCTCCCAAAGAGACTGCCATGTTGCTTATTCAGACTTCAACATGGTGCTGGGTGTACTACGCTGGGATGTGCACGAAGCTTTAATCTGCTTATCAAGCACATTCAAACAAACTTTTATTTACAACATCAATTACATTTCTTTTCTTCCAAACTGACCTTCATCCAGGAAGCCACATTAGTCTACCAAATCCAATGGGACATGGGGAAAAAATAGATCACCATAATCTATACTAATTGTTGCATTCTGCTTTCCTTTCCTCTCCATTCTCTAGGAGATGGTCTAGCAAATTGCTTACTAAATCACAGGTAAGACAGGCAATGGTTTTGTAATTTCCCTGTAATACCTTTTGGTCCTACCAGAAAATGGGCTTTTTTGAGTGGAAACGGGCAGTTATTATACCTGTTGTAACAATAACTTAGTTAAATCTCTTAACCCTCCCATTAGGACAACACAGATGATGATAACTTATCAGTTAAGGTGCTGCTAAAAGAGTAAGGGTCAAGTCCTGGGCCAAATACAGGGGTATAATATGGTATAGAAATGAACGAGATCGCCACTATTGTAAATATGAAAAAGTAACCATCTCCTCTAGCGAGGTGCCATACTCATCAAAGAGGAAAACATATACCTTTCTCTCTTTAGCCTTCCTATCTTGTGAGACCTTCAGTGGGTCTATGAACTTGCTAAATTTGTATCAAATGCATGTTTGTGAGGAGAGGGTCCTTCGATTTCATTAGGTTTTCAAAAGGGTCCAAAACTCAGAAAGGTTAATAATCACTCGTCTGGACACACTTATATAAGTTACCATTTTAAAAAGTAATTCCTACTCTTTATGTCACCTTTGGTGCTGGGGAAATTTGAGGCACTAAAAAGAATATACATTTTGGGTATGATCCCTTGCCTAAATTGTCTCCAGTTATAGGGCCCTCTTTCTGTATCTACTTGGAGGGGGTAAGGATTCCCCTCCCCGCCAGTATATAGACTTTTCAATTTTAACTTGGGTTTAACTTGGATTTACCTTGGTGAGCCCTAATGCAAAAATACCTCAGGCTGAATATTAATTGACTACAAGGAGTTGTACCCACGAAATGTATGGAAATACTTCCATTTTTTCTTTTTAAGTTGGAAAAGTGATAAACTTTACTGACTACTTTGGAGATTAAATATGGAGCCAATGGATGCAATTAAATGCACAACAATGCAGAGGCTGATGATTTAGAAGGCTTTTCTTCTACCTCTGGCTTGGAGTGGTTATACCAATGGAGGCTCTGCTCCCTTGGGCACCAACAAAGGTATAAAGGCAGCTTAACAGAGAAAGCCCACTAATATATAGTGCGGAGCTTAATAAGGTTTTTGATTATAATGATAAATGCAAGGCAATTATCACATTCAATGAAAAATTTAAAAGAACATTTTTCTAGTAAGATAGCCACAATTAGTAAGAAAATGTTAGATTTCCAAAAATAACATTCATAACCGGTTTTTATAGTTTCCAGTTTTACTGTGTGTTTTTTTTAATGGCTTTCCTTTGGAGGTGTTGACAATAAAATTATAGCAATTATTTCAACAACTGCCCAATAACTGTATTTTTGTGTTAAGTTACAGAAATTAGGCAAATTAGAAAATATGGGTTCAAAATAGCCAACATACACATTCTTTTGGGAATAAGTCTAGGAGTGTCCTTGACTGAGAAGTGGCCAAGATAATTTGACATTTTCACTTTCAAATTCCTAACTGTGATTTATAGAATGGAGGCTAAACAAACAGACCAATTAAGAGTGTAAACTGTGACCTGCCTCAAGCTCTGGCTAGCTACTCCACTCAGGGTGTAAAGGTGATCATGGCACCATTTTACCCTCTGGGGATATGGGTACAGCTGCTCTGGACCAGTCCCTCTAAATCTGAGCCCCTCCTTGTTTGTTATTCATCATGGTGACAGCAAAGAATAGGAGCACCCGTCTTTCCCAGGCAAATAGACCAACAGCTTGTTTTCTTCGGCTCCTGGAAACTGAGAGATCAAAAAACTTCAGAAAAACCCAGAGCTACTTACAGAAGGTTTGGGAGCGGGTGATTTATTTCCATCTGGGGTTTTAGTTAGCCATTCATTGATGCGGCTGGAAACCCCCACCTTCAAGCCAGCAGTCTCCTACAAAGTCAATAATCCAATATTACAGGAAAAAAATAAACTTTACTTGGAAAAAAAACTTCAAAGTAACCTTAAAATACTATTAGGTATTACTCCACATAACCATTAGGTGACACCAATCATTTATTGATCTCTATCTTTAATATTTTGAGTAGAATAAACCTTAAACTTGATATTTAAAGACGATGTTATCTGGTTTTCTTTCCCCTGCACCTCACCCCACCCCCAACCCCAGGGGTTGATGATTAATTTCAGGCACTTCATTTAGAATACTGTGGTCAGAGCATAGGACACAGCCTAGCCTCCTACACACATCATCTCTGAGGGAATTAACATCTTCTTCACTGCTTTTATAATTAACTAGTGTGATTCCTTAAAAAAAAAAAAAAAGGAAAAAAGGAAAAAAAAACCCAGCCTCCAAAATTAAAAGACCCAAATCCTATACTGACCTTATTTGGTGTGCCTGACACAGTGGGGGATGAAAACACATTCCCTTTCTCCCACATGCTCTTGATATTGCGGACACCTTCAGCAGGAACAGGAAGATCCGAGGCTGCTGGCTTCAGAGGTTTTGCGGTTTTTGTTCCCTGAAATGCGTGAATTATCTTTAGGGTTGGTGCTGATAAGTTTGTTCTCATAAAATTATGCTGAGCTTGTCTACCTCAACATCATCATTTAAAATTCATTATGATATTAAAAAAATATCACCTTCACCAAAAATTCTGTTGTGAAACTACATTCTGATGACATATATGCCTCAAATAAACCGTAATACCTACATCAGAGGATCTTTCAAAAATGAAATGATGTCTTTTACTGAAACACCACTGATTGTGAAGGTGGTATCTCACGTCATTTCTTCAATAGGTAAGTGCTTGTATGTGCACGGGGGACCGTGCTAGGCTCTGGGGATATAGAGCTACTCAAGACAGTCTGCTCCGCGAGCTACGGTGGGCTTAACATTTTATTTTATTATATTATTTATTTATTTATTTTTAAAGATTTTATTTATTTACTTGACAGAACAGAGAGAGAGATCACAAGTAGGGGGAGCAGCAGAGGGAGAGGGAGAGGGAGAAGCAGGCTCCCCACTGAGCAAGGAGCCTAATGCGGGACTTGAGTGCTCGCTTCGGCAGCACATATACTAAAAATGCGGGACTTGATCCCAGGACCCTGAGATTGTGACCCGAGCCGAAGGCAGACGCTTAACCAACTGAGCCACCCAGGCGCCCCTGGACTTAACATTTTAATAGCAGAGAACGGCAGTAACTAGTTACACAAGTATTTATTTCACATTGTGCTAAGAGCTATGAAAGATGAATGTAGTGCTGTAAAGCACGCCCAGAGAGCATACATGAAGGGGAAGAATACTTAGTTTAGGGGAGCAAAGAAGGCGCCTCTGAAGAAGTGACATTTCAACCGAGATCCAACAGAAGGTTTAGAAGTGGCTAGGTGAAGAGAAGGAGCAATGCCATTCCATGTAGAAGGAAGGGCATATACAAAGGACCGAAGACCGGAGAATATACCAGAAGGAGGGAAGAACAGATGTAAAAATGAAAGGTGTGCATTCAAGATACATGTCCAGCAGCAGTGACGAGCATCCCCAGAATCAGGCAGTCTCTCTGGTGGTCCTGCTCTGCGGCCTGTGGCATGGGCTGCCAAGGTGACTGGCCAGGTGAGTGGAACGTACCATCGGTGGCCTGCATGTAAAAAACCTCCCGGGGCTGTGTACGCTCTGAAGCCACAGTCTTGGCTTTGTTAATCCTAGCAGAGCTCTGATCAATTCAACCACAGAAAATAACTATCTGCCATTTGTCTTGTATTTTTCTGGACATTTAATCTTGTGAAAAATCACCTCTTGGGTGTTAGGACTTGATTATTCATTTGACAAATCATCCAGACCTCTCTCTTTCTTATTCCCTCTTAGCATTTTTTTGTGAACTATTTCACAGGTATCTCCACTCTGCAGTACAAAGGAGAGGAGAAAAATCAAACCGAACTGATCCAATTACTTTATAGCAGGTGTTCTGAACACATCAGAAGGGTGAAAGCATTGACTAAAAGCACAAAAGGAGAAAAAAACACATCTTGAGCAATGGCACTGTACCAAGTGCTTTGGTACTTGGAAATATACTTTATTTCCAAATAGCATAGATCCCTTTTTTTTGGAGGCGGAGGGGAAGTTGGAATAGAAAGAAGCATAAAACTATGGTCTTTCAAGCACAAAACAATTTGAAACTGATGATAATTAAACTTGGTCTATCACCTTTATATTAGCTCACACTACTACTTTTATTTGATAATAAAAGTTTTTATAGATAAAAAAGGATTAACCACAGTTGCAACTGTTTAAACTATATATGGGAACACATTTTAAAAGTAATTAAAGATATTAAAGATATACTTATGAACATACAAGTAATATAGTTCAATACCAATGAGCCCATTCATTAAACGAGTAACAGCTTTATTAAGTAATATTCCAGCTGAAAGTAGAAAACAATAATTTATTTAAAATCTCCTATAATTTATCTTTATCACTGCTCTTCTCTATAACTAGTTCAAAGTACAATGAAGCATCACTAATATTCTCACACAGGAATGTGGTTACTGGACCTGAGTACTGTCCTAAGCCTCTATGATCATCCATCCCCAGAGTTTATTTCTGCCCACGACTGAGGCCACCTCACCTCAATTGCACTGGTGTATTGCTCCAGTCTGCTGTCAATCTTGGAGACAACTGCTGCTTGATGAGTTGATTTGACACCACTGTTTAATTGAATAAACACACACACACATACATAAAAATACAAGAGAGAATCTTTCCATATATATATAACAGCTGATGATTCTCAACTGAACAATCATATTTACCTTTTCTGCACAGACTTATTCAAAAATTCTGCTCGTTCTTCTATCTAGAAATTGAAAAAAAAAGCCCAGTTAATACTTGCAGCTTATAAACAATGTTTCTCAGCCCACTTGGTGAGTAAAAGCACCAGAGTGTGTGTAAGGGTAATAGTAATAATAAAACTACTTTGAGACATTTGAGAGTGAGATTTGGAGGGGACAAATGGCAGATGATAAAGAAGGTGTGGAGAAATACAAAGTTCTGGAGGCAAATTAAAGACCAGACAGAAACGGAATAAAAATGCCTCTGAAACAATGTAAATCAGAGGCAAAAGAAATACATTTCAAGACAACAACCATTTTTTCCAAAAGCACATGCTGTTACCCTTTAGGACGTATATATATGAGTATAAATATACCATGTTATTTGATTAACGGAAATTTCCCACAGCGTTTTAACTATATATTTAGTGCATAATAGGACCGAATAAGAAAGGTAACTAGGAACTGTGAACTATTCACCTCCTGCTTAGCCTGGCTTCCTAACTGTCAAGCCTACTGCTGAATTTAATTTGCCTTGAATGTGGAAGATAGGGATGGGAGGAGACTGAGATCTGGGGCATGGCTCCTCAGGGCTGAGGCCTCCCATGAAACCCCTGTTAGCCTAAGTGGGAATGACAGAAATAAACACAGAAAAACTTATGGATATATATGAAATGGTAGTCTTTAATAAGATCCTTTTTCTTTTTAAAGCTAGGAACTTCCTTTTACTAAAACTAAAGCTACTAAATCAAACCCTATATTTCATTGAAACTATATCACCCAAATCAGATGCTCTCTGTAAGTCAGCAAGTATCTGTTGACTCCTTATGATACCCAATGCCAGGGGAGAAATAGCCTCTGTCACTTATCACCTACCAAAATCAGCAAATAGTAAAACCTTTGTATATGACTGCCTGTGCCAAAGCATACATGTGCTGAAGGGGGCCATTTTCTTCCCTGTTCAGGAGGCCAGGGAATCTACCAGACTTCAGCTACCCCAGGCTGGTGTGGTTGAGTATCCCCTACAGTCTTCTGAGATGTTAGTGGCTCTTTCTGGCCTGGACTGTCCCTGGGACTCGTGGACTTTTTAATAAACACCGTTAGGCTCTTTATAGATGTTATTGGGGGCATTTCATTCTTTCCAATGATTTCTCACAATGATAAACGCAAACTCATTAAAAATAAAACTTCCTGCAAAAAAGTGTTATTGGTAGCCCTGAGTTTATGGGATGAAGAGTATCTTAAATTTTATTTTTCTGATTTTAATATAACTTAGAAGTGTACTTCTGGAGAAAAAGTTCCCAGCTGAATAAGGTGAAATACATTGAAACCACGCAATGCACTGCCATTTTTAATATTATCCATCCATCCATCCATCCATCCATCCATCCTACTTTCCAATCATTTATCCATCTACCTACCCTACTGACCACTCATCCATCATCCATCCATCCATCCATCCATCCATCCATCCATCCATCCTACTTTAACCCTGCCAGCTGGTCAGCTAAACAACTAACCAAAAAATTACATATTGAGTACTCACTCTATAAAGCTGAACACTCAACAATGTATAAGACAGTGTCCCATTCTTTAAGGAGAACATAATTAGTAGGGGAGACTAGTAGAACATACAAATAAAACACTTCACACTCAATGACAGGTACCATAGTAAAGAGAAGAAGAAAATGCTGTGTGGCCTTGGGAGGAGTGACTCTCTGGTGTCAGTGGAGAAGTTTTTCAGTAGTTTTGATTCTGAGCTGAGGTTTTTAGTTTATAGTTTACACAGTTTTATCAATGAGTTTATGGAGGTAAGGGTAGGGGGAAGGAGTGCACGAGTTATGGGGACAGGACATTTGTGGCAGAGCAAACCCATGCACAATTTGGGGAACATAGGCAGGGCAGGGGGGTAGGATGGAGGAATGAAACACATAGGGGAAGGACAGAGGCACGAGGAAGGGGCAGCAGAGGTGAGACTTTTTCTCTGTAGCACTGCCAGCAGCCTTCTGACTCTGGGATGAGCTTGCTAACCTTGGCTATGCCATTAATTCAAATGATGGAGATTCTGACTCTGACATCTCCTTTTGTATCTACAACATCAAATACAGCTTGACTTCATTATCTCATTTTGTCAGGTCTCACCATCCATTTACTGACGCATTCCTATTGGGAAATCCTGAACTTCATCTAGATAATGTAACAATGTGTACTGAATTTATACACTAAACAAATTTCTGTAGGACTTTAACGAGAGCAGTTGGTTCTTCTGAAGACCAAGAGGTGGCAGTGTTGTCTCGATAAAACTCAAGGGAAAGAAAGCACGCTATGCATTTTAGAAAACTGGCTCTCTCCTTACTCTACACCCCTTCCACCACCAAAATATGAAAACAACAGTAATAATAACCCAATTTTAAATTTAATTTACTTACAATTTGTTCTGTGCATGTTTTACGTAAGAAAAACCATTCACTGCTAACAAAATTTTAACTGAGAAACCAGGTTCAGAGTTCCCCAGACAAGGAATAGGAGTCATGAGAACTTAACAAAATACATGAGTTGATAATATTTTGAGGTCAAATAGCAAATGTTTTCCCTTGAGCTGGCATTCTACAATCTTTTTTTTTTTTTTTTAAAGATTTTATTTATTTATTTGACAGAGAGAGACACAGCGAGAGCAGGATCACAAGCAGGGGGAGAGGGAGAGGGAGAAACAGGCTTCCCGCGGAGCAGGGAGCCCGATGCGGGGCTCGATCCCAGGACCCTGGGATCATGACCTGAGCCGAAGGCAGACGCTTAACGACTGAGCCACCCAGGCGCCCCTGGCATTCTACAATCTTAACTCATGACCACTTATAAAAGTGGCAGGGCCAAGAGGATCAACGACTGTAGGAATTCAATCACAGAATACGAAATTGAGCGCTAAAACGAGAGCCACAGCAAATTCTTCAAGGCACATACTATGGAGAAAAGCAATAGACTGCCTGTTCCTGAAAGCATGTCTCTGTTATATAGGAATTAAACATTTTTTGTTTTTTTTTAGCATAAATACTTTGCTCACACATGCCTCTCTAGCAGAGGGAGTAGATGAATGGCTTCCTAGGAACACTGGATGAAATGGAAAGCCAGGACTCTGGTTGAGGGAAAGACCAGAGAAGTAAGTAAGTTGAAAAATTTAGTAGAGAAGAGATATTTGAAGAAGGAAAGGAGAATGGGCTATAGTTTCTCCTGAAAACAACAGCAATTAGAAGCTTAGATGACTATGGATTTCTTGGTGTTACCAAGACTGTTCAAAGAAAATTTAGCTCAGGTGGGATTTCAAGGAGGGCAGAACGAGAGAACATAGCTTTCTTTGATTATTGATGAGCCAGAAACACAAGGAGCCAGACCAGGAACAGAACTCTGGTCACTGCATGGAGATAGCCTGAACTGAGTGGGGTTTTTGTTTTTTGCTTTTGTGTTTTTCTTTTGTTTTGTTTTTTTGTCGCTGTTGTTTATTTGTTTTGTTGTTGTTGCTGCCTTTCTGCTCTTTCTTCTATAGTAGGGTCTGCAAACTATGGCCCATGTGCTCATGGGCCTTATGCAGGCCATGGTTTTCACACAGCCCTCAAGCTAAGAATGAGTTTTATATTGTTAAATGGTTTAAAAATCCAAAAGAAGAATATTTGGGGACATAGGAAAACTTTGTGAAATTCAAATTTCAGTGTCTCTCAATAAAACTCATCCACTCCACAAAGATTCTCTCTACTCATTTCACTCCGCTCTGAGATCTCACTGCACTGGAAGTCTGCAGTTGGTTACCTGGTAATTCTTGGGATTCCTCTGAGCAGTTGACTATGGTAATGCCATGGGGGCAATGGCTTGCTTTGTACTTCTCTCCCTCATAGTACTTAGCACCTATTAGGTATGTTATAAATATCAAATGTGAAACAATAAGATCCCCCTGTGGCTTAGTTCTGATTCCCCCTGAAGCAGATCTTGAGAAGAGAGGGTTCAAGTATAAGGAGTTTATTTGGGAGGTGTCAGACTATGACTGGGACCCAGATGATCATAAAGACTAAGTGAAGCTCTTTAAGGATCAAACATGCTGATTTTCCTGTGAAACAGGTAATAACTGTAAAATGTAAGTAACTGGCTTTTGGTCATTTTAGTGGGCCACGTGAGATGACCTCACACACACAATTATAGACACACACATGCATATATTTAACCAGCTGGAGCCCAGCTATGATTCTCTACTGGTTTTGCCCATCACCTACATTTTGTAGCCTAGCTAGGTTGATGGAAAATGAGGGAGAAATAAAAGTGTTAAAAGGTCCAATCTCTGAAGATTCATTCATTCATTTATTCATTCGGCAAATATTTATTGACTATCTTCACTGTGCCAGGTGCTCATTAAATGTTAACTCTCAAAACAAAACACATATCTGAAAATAATGGCACATTGAGTATAAATAATAGATAGCGCTTTCTTGCTTCTGTTCTCTTTTCTCTCCATGTCAACCCTTCCCTCTTCTCCTTGACTGGGCTCCCTCCTGCTCATTCTCTTTTCTCTTACCAGCACTTCGATCTTCATCAATAAGGAGCTGTGCTCCTCGAAGGCAGTGCTGGGACCAAACTTATCCTGGCAAAGGACCCTACACAAGTTACATTTCTTCTCCTCCTGTGGTAACAGCTTTCAGATTTGACCAGTACCATTTCCAGCTGCCCTACTTTTAATAATGACAAATTAAAAATGAAGAGCTAGCATGAAAAGCAGCTCAAACCTTTATAATATAGTTGCCCATTTTATAAACTTTAAATGTTTCCATTTTCAACTGCTTGAAGCAATGAGGCGTCTGGAGGGCATGGGTCAGTGAAATCCAGAGATAACTGCTGAATGTCACTTTAATGCATACCAAAGCATCTAATGAACAACAGATACAAAGCTCTCCACCTTATTTCTCTCCTCCCTACATGTTACAAAGAGAAGCTGTGAAAAGGCTGGAAGAAGGAGCAAAAAGCTAAATGAAGCAAAGGCTTTGAACGATGAATAACTAAGGAAGTGGCTAAAATCAAGTTTCCATCACATTATAATGGAGGTGTTATGAGAAGGATTTCTGGGAATAAGAAATACCTTGAGAGATGAACCTTTAGGAGTGAAACACTTGAATGGCTTCTTGTCATCTGATAAGCTGTCTTCGGGCATCTTCTGACGTTTCTCAGCAGCTTCTGCCCGTCGCCTTTCAATCTCTTCCTTTAGCCTCCTCTTCTCTTCCTGAGGGAGAAAGAACATATAACAAGGACATCAGTATGAGCTTCAAGAGAGAAGGAAAGAGTGCTGTAGGGGAGAGAGCACTAGTACCAGAGGAAAACGAGCCGGGTTCTGGACTGGATGCCATCCTTTCCTCAAGGGCGGTGGCTAGAGATTAAGCCTGAGCCCGAGAGTCCAACTGCCTGACTCACACTCTGGCGCTGCCACTTCCCAACTGTGTGACCTTGGCCATGTCACTTCTCTGCTCTGTGCCTCAGTTTATCATCTGTAAAATGGGGATTATGATAGCTGCCATGAGCTACATGAGAAAGCCCATGTAAAACGCCAGGTCTTGTGCTCAGTATGAAGCTGATCGTTATCATTACCATCCAGTCAGATCATTTAACACTGACCTTCCATTTCTGTGTATATAAGAGGAATATAAATGTCCCCTCTCCCTCCTTCCTAGGAGAGTTGTGAAGACAAATGAGATAAATGATGTGCAAAGTTATATAAATCTAAAGTATTATATTTACCAAATTGTACAAGAGATAATTGTATGGTTGTCCCTGCCTCAACTGAGGAGATTATTTTAGATGGTTTGACAAACCTGAAAATATGTAGACACTCACCAGAGCAGTCACGGATGTTCACAGTGTGTCTCATTACCCCCTCTGTGCCTTTCTTCCTGGTCTACAATACTCTCCCCTGTCCTCTCTCTCAGGCAAAACATTCACAGTGCTGATCAAGTGGCACATCCTCTATGAATGACTGACTGAGAGATCTGTGTAGTCTTTTGTAATTTTAGAACTATATGTTCTCAAGCAGAGACTGGATGTTCATCTGGCAGAATGATTCTCTGTGTTATGGGCTGAATGTCTGTGCCGCCCCCCCCATTACAGTTAAAGTCCCAGCCCCCAAAGTGATGGTTTTAGGAGTGGAGGCCTTTGGCAGGTGATTAGATCACGAGAGTGAAGCCTTCATGAATAGCACTAGTGCCCTTATTAAGGAGAACCCATGGGCGCCTGGGTGGCTCAGTTGGTTAAGCGACTGCCTTCGGCTCAGGTCATGATCCTGGAGTCCCGGGATCGAGTCCCGCATTGGGCTCCC